AGAGTGACCCTGTCAAATCCAGTGGGACTTACTTCTAAGTAGGCTTACGTAGGATTGGGGGTTCTAATCTGAGGCAGCCATGATGAATAATGAAGCAGGTCAGTTTTTATTCCAAAGTAGTCAATCTAGAACATTTCCCTCCGAAGCTCAGGGATCTCCAGCTGTTTTGGGGACTACAAAAACATCGTGCCCTGACCATTGGTCTTGCTAGCTAGGGATGATGGGATTTGTAGTCTAAAAACAGATGGTGCCCTGAGTTTCAGAAACACTGATCTGGAGCATTTGTTTCTCTGATTCCACCCACCTTTGACTCTGTTTCCACCCACCAGGAGCACGAAGCACGCAACCTTTGAGAGAATGTCACTCTCAACGGGTTCAGGGGAAAGGCATTGGGAATAATGGTGCAAATTATATTTGTACGTATTTGGCTGCACCTATTTCTGTTGTGTTTGTGCACCCCCTTCCTTTTGGGGTTGCCACTGAAAACAGCAGCAGTTCCCAAGCCTTGCAGGAGGGGAAAAGCAGGACATCAGACCACTGACCCATCTATCACAGGACTGTCTGCATCGGATAGCAGTTGCTCTCCAGGGTTTTGGGCAGGGACCAATTCCTAGCCCTCCCTGGCAATGAATTGAATCTAGGACCTTCTGAATGCAAAGCAGATGTTCTTCCACTGAGCTATGGGCCTTCCCTGTGTTTGGTATTGCTAGATGTTATCAGGAGGAAGAGGAGGAGGAGATGCAGAGCTCCTGCTCTTGGTGGCAGCCACACATCCTCCATTGCATCCAGTTCTGGCCTTTGGTTCCCACCTCATTAATCTAGTGGGAAGAGATGGGGATGCAGTGTCAGCACGAAGAAAGATGCTCTGGCTTTCTTTGAGCTCTCCATCAGAGTGTCTAGGTCATTGTGTCATGGTTCTTGCTGGTAGCAGGACCAAGAACTCTGTGCACCATGTTCCTTGCACAGACAAGGTGAGCTGCTACAAGCAGTTGGCAGCACTTGTACATCTCTGTCACGTTCTTAGGTAACGAAGAGAACCACTGGCTCTTCTTTTATCAGTCAATACTCTCTTTGCAAGCAAGTGGCCCTCCAAACATGAAAAAAGGTGTGCTGTGGATCAGATAGGATTTGGCTAATGTGATAGCTGAGTTTCACGTGGTATCTGAATTTTACATGGTTAAGATAAAGTCCCCCTGCAAGGTCAAAAGCTGGATAATGCAGATAAGCAGCATTATCACAGTTCAATGACATATTCCAGCCAGGCAAAAAGCACCCAGGGAAGGCATGTTGAGGGGTGTGGGGAGAATCCTGAGAGCCAGATAGAGAGGATTGGAGGGCCACATTTGGGCTCCATGCCTGAGGTTCCCCACCACGGGGCTAAACCATAGCTAATGCCAACAAGAAAGGGGATGGGAGGGATTTGCCCTGGAAAGGGAAAGAGACAGGTAAAGGGAGGGATGTATCTGATTCTGGCCCATTGGGAAAACATGCCTGTTTTTGAATCTGAAAGGGATACCCGTGTTAGTCTGTTGCAACAAAAGCAAGGAAGGTCAATCAATCAATCAATTAATCTTTATTGCGGTCAAAGACCAGACAGAGCAAGGAAGGTTCCTGTGGCACCGTAGAGACTGATCAGTTTTTGGGTGCCATAAAAGTTCGCAGATTAGAGCCCAGTACATTAGATGCATAAAGTAGAAAAATATATGAGTATTAGGGGGCAGGGGCAGGAGCAGGATGGGTTGTAAACAGTGTAGTCAAAAGGCCATGAAACATAAGAGATGCTGCCTATGACATTTCTATGCAAAGCTCAGACATTAGGGCAATGCCTTGATTAGGCCAACCAAAATGTCACAAAACAGTGTTCAAGCTTTCATGTTCTCCAGATAAGATAAGTACAATGACCATTTTCAACTGCAGGAATTAGTGAAAACAGAAGCATTCTAACTGAGATATTGCGTTACTTGTTTTTAATCTTTTATTTGCTTATGTAACTTAAATATTTTGGAGAAATAGAGAAGATATTTTTTAAAAGTCACTGAGCCCCATCCTGTTCTCTCTTTCCTGCCCCCACCCCATTTAACACTGGTCTGGTTCACACACAACACTAAGCCATGGTTTGCTTAGCCAAAGCGTAGCTTGTCTGAAACCCAGCCCAGTCAACTGACCATGGGCGTTTCCTGGCTGGACTATGAAACTATGGTTTGTGGTTGACTCACAAACTGTGACTTGGTTTGGCATTGTGTCCAAATCCAGCAACTTTGCTTTGCCATGGTGTGCTTGAACACCCACCAAGGATGCTCATTAAGCAATAGAAACACAAGGCAAAACAATCTGTGACTCATTTGATCTTTTGTGAGGCTACTTGTGGTTTATTGAACAATCCGTAGTTAAAAGAAACTATGGCTTAGTATTATGTGTGAGCGTACCCACAGTGTGATAGAAGTTACCTATCTCCCCATCCATCTTAAGCCAAGGTGTTTTGTATTATTTTTTATCCTTTAAATCAGGGGTGGGAAACCTGGACTCTCAACTCCCATCATCCCAGACCATTGGCCATGATGGCTGGGGCTGGTGGGAATTGGAGTCCAGAACATCTGAGTAGACACAGAGGTTCCTCATCCCTGCTTTAAACAGTTGGAAGCTGCCACAGGAGGAGGCATTGGCAAGATTCAAATCCATGAACAATATTTGTGGTTTTAAGGAAATGCATTTTCCAGACAAAGCATTCAGAATGGTCCTTTTTAAATAGAAAGATTAAGTTACCGAGTCTCATGATGTCATTGTCTGCCTGTTCTCACTCCTGCCCCAATGAAGAGAAGGGCTGGTTGGGTCTGTATTCATTCCAGGCAGAGCTCCTATGGAGGCAGCACTGAGCTTTGCTTTCTTTCGTTTTAATATCTCACCCCCCCACTCCCCCCCCCAAATTGCTTCCCTGTTGATGCATTTTAACAACTTAGTGGGAAGGTTTCCGCTCAAGAGCCCAACTTTAAAGATGAAATAACTCAGCTACATTTTAGAGCTCACATTTTGAATTCAAAACGTTTCCAGAATTGCATTTGAAAATAGGAAGTTTTGAGAAAAGAAAATGGAATGTTAAAGTGTTTCTGATTACGGTTAGAGGACTTTGTTGCAAGTTGCCACATTCAAGAAAGTTTTGCACCTTGTTTCAGTCTCCCCCCCAAAAAAACCCCCTCAGTCATTTAGTACAATATAATTAATGTTGAGGAAAATATCAAATATAAATTCAAATGTATGACAAACACATTGAAACTAGAATGATTTGCATAAGAATTTCCCACAATGTCCCTCTCAGCTCTCTTGTATAGAGCTGCAAGACTGTGAATTAAGGCTGCTTGGATGTTCCATCTTTTGACTTTGAAGTCTTTGCCTCCCCCCAGCTGCCCAGTGCTTGATCTATAAAGTTTGGAGGTTGTAGGTTTCCTCATTTTTTAAAAAAACACACACTCAGAGTTGCTTGCCGTAGGAATGATACTCTGCTAAAAGCAGAGTTTGCAGTACTTCCCAATTATTAGAACACATACACACACACACAATCCTTTTACACCAGCCTTCAGATGTTTTCGGCTATAGCTCCCAGCCAACATGGTCAGTGGTCAAGGATGATGGAAGCCGTAGTCAAGAGCATCTAGAGGGCATCTGGTTGGGGAAAACCAACATAACATCATTATCAAAATTATCATCCAGTAATCTTAACTATTTCCAGTCCCCTTGAATTGACCTTCAGCTTGGGATAGATGTGTTGCTTTCTCCAAGAAAGCTTGCTTCTCTTAATGCCTACCTGCTCCTTAGCATTCAAACCTGGCTGGTTTTATGTGATCCATGCACAAAAACTCAATAGTTGCCAACCTTGCCTTCCGCTTCTGGCCTGATTGCAGGCAGCTCAGAGATGGGATTCCATTACGCTGTGCAGCAGAGGTGCGCGCACACACACACACACACACACACACACACACCACCCCTGTCTTCCTGTTCCATGGCACTCACCAATGACATTATTCAGTTGGCCTACCAAATCTAAGCCAGTCATCAAAACCCATCTGTGTTCAGGAAGATGATTGCCGCTCCATGATTCCAAGACCAAATCATGATGACTCATGTCTTTGCCCCAAGTCAGTGGTTTTCCAGTGGTGAGATGGTCTACCTTAGGAGCATTCTCAGGGGTTCCTCAATGAGAATATCAGTAATGGTGGGCAAGAAAGACGCTTCGCCCGCTAATACTGATCTTGCTCGGCAATGCATTGTTGCAGGATATTTTGGGTTGAGTTCCAGGATGCCCTCTGTATTCGCAACAGGGCACTGTAGCATATGGTGCATGGCACAAGGTGCAACAGCCTTGCTAAGGCTATGTACGTCTGGGAGTGATCAGTGCCTGGAAAGGAGACCATGTTAGGAACCCTCTGTACTCTGTCTTGAGCTCCATCCCAGACGAAAGGTGGGCTGTAAATTAAACCCATGATGCCTGATGATGAAGGCTGAGAGCCCTGGCTAACATGCCACGTAAGCTAACTCTGTGCCCCAAAACAGATCTCATAAACTTCCACAATGCGCAGAGCTTCTGCAGCAGGGAAGATAAGCTGGGGCAGGGCTTCCCGAAGGCAGGAGATTTGAAACCCACCACCCCAAGCTAAATGAGCCAATGCGATGTTCATGCAATCTCCAGCTGCATGTGCCCTGCTGTGTATTTCCAAATAACTGTGGTTTAATTCAACAGGTTTGTAGGAGAATTTACAAAACTAGGCAAAATTTCCGCACTTCGGAATTTCAGGGTATTGAGAGCTTTAAAAACTATTTCGTACATTCCAGGTAAGAAGCCCTGATCCTTGCATATCTGCTCTCAGCTACAATTGACTTTTTTTCCTGTCCCTCCCCAAACCCTTCTTTCTCTCTCTCTTCTCTTTCTCTCTCTCTTCTGCTGTCATTACTTTGCTGGCGTTGTTGTCACGGTCTTCTTCTTGTGTGTGACTTTCCCTTGTTTGCAGATACATAACTGAATTTGTGGACCTGGGCAATGTATCAGCCTTACGAACGTTCAGAGTTCTTCGCGCGCTGAAAACAATCTCAGTCATTTCAGGTGAAAAAAACAATTTGAGGTTAAACACTTGGGCTGCGTGCACTCACAGAAGCTTATGCGCCATTCCCCGTAGCAAAACGGCTGTCGGTAGGACACAGCTTGAAATAATGAACGGCACTTGACCTGGGAATGGATGAGTGTGGGGAATGGGTCCTGTCAATAGAATACTTTTTTTTCATATGTTTACCCCACTCCCGGCAATTTTTGGTGGAGGCATCAAAGGCTCTTCAGGGCTCTGAAATTTCCCAGCCCATGACAATCATGAGCCGAGAATGCGCCTTGCAAAGTTTCCCGCAGCCCTGTTTTCATACAATTTGGGAACAGAGGTCCAACAAATTCAGATTGGCTAGTTAGACATAAATGACTAAACCTGAGTGGGTTGCTTCTCTCTCCCCTCCCCCACTCTCTCTTTAAATAATAAAATAAAAATCTTGGGGTAAATGGCAACATATGAAAAAAAAAAAAACCAACCACGAGAAAAAAATTGCAAGGCCGATCAATAATTTTTTTGTCAGTGTGCTGACCTCCAGGCTAAATTAAAACCGAATGCCATTCATTGCTTTGTTTGGGGTGGAATAAAGGCATCTGAAGGATCTGTTGTGGACTGCCTTGCCATTATCATTCGATCTGAGTTAATTCCGACCCAACCAATCAATCGGTAGCTCAGTGCAGAGTGAATGTGGGCACGATTCCGCCAAAATGCTCTTCTGCACAAGGGCCACTGATATGAATGGTGTGGTGCCGCTGTGCTTTTATGCGGCTCCTTTTCATTCCATTGTGAAGAATATCCCCGTAGATCATGACCTTTGGCTCCCTCTCACATTGCCTTTTTTTTTTTTAGCAAAAGAAACATGCAGCCCCTGTTGCCTTTGTCAGCATTTAAAGATGCTTAGTTACAGTTGCTTTCATCTCTTAAATGGAGGACGGTGTTTTCTCTGAAAGTAGATCGATGGGGAAAACAAGCAAATGTGCCCTCGGTGTATCTATGGACAGGTCTCATTCAGCCTCAGTGTTTAACATTTTTGACCTGCATGGCAAGGTAGAGAAGGTGGCAAAACAACCCCGTGCATGGTAGTTCCTGTAGATGATTATCCTGAACAGATGTTGGCAATTACAGGTCAAAAATAGTCTAAAGAGACTGCTTTTAAAAGGGGGGGTGGGGTGGGCGAGGAAAAACAACAACATCCATTTAGGAGATGGGAAGATTTTCTTCACTCCATTAGATGGCAAACATCTTCACTGTGGCTCTCTCGGTTGAAACAGGAACACCAAAGCAACGGCACACATTATCTGCACCCTTAGTATATTTTTAAGGTATGGTTTGCTGAAAATTTCTCCTGTATACACATCCGCCCCACCTCCACCATTTCCTATCAGGTTTTGAGAAAAGAAATTGCATTCGGAAATGATCAAAGGGGAGAGAAATGTCAGTGGATTTTTCACAGGTGGGGTGCAGGTGCCTGCCTGGGAATTAAAGCCCAGGGGAAGACTTAGCAGCTCTCGGTGGACTTTTCAGATCAGGAAGTGTGGGCAGCCAGGAGGGCTGCAGAGTGCTGGGTAAATGTTTACTGGGAAGAAAAACACATGTGCCCACACCCCACCCATGGCCACCTTGCAACGAAAAGTTGAGCTGAAAAACCAGCACCTCAGAATGAGGCAGGAGAGAAGAAGGGAACATGCAGTAACAGGAACTGAAGTGATTTGGAAATGGTTGCATGTGGGGGAATCGGTTACAGTCTCTCCCAGAACAGATTCTTCCCCATACAACCATTGCTACATTACTTTACAGTGGTACCTCGGGTTAAGTGCTTAATTCGTTCCGGAGGTCCGTTCTTCACCTGAAACTGTTCTTAACCTGAAGCACCACTTTAGCTAATGGGGCCTCCCGCTGCTGCCGCACCGGCGGAGCACGATTTCTGTTCTCATCCTGAAGCAAAGTTCTTAATCCGAGGTAATATTTCTGGGTTAGCGGAGTCTGTAACCTGAAGCATATGTAATCCAAGGTACCACTGTAGTTCCTGTTCACCTTACAGAACTGGTGTAATATACAACAGCATGGCACCAGCCCTCTGAAGTATGTGGCAAGATTTTATAGATCTAGATCTATAGATCTAAATCTAGATCGACTGATTGATCTAGTCTCATCTACACTCGTTATGCAAAACTCTTGGCTCATCCCAAGGTTCTTCAGGGCTAGTCTTAACCCAGGCAGCAGAAGGAGTTGTGAGGGGGGGAAATGGATTGAACTGCTTCAGGTTTCAGATAGAGCTTTTTTGTTTTTTTAATGGCGGAAGCTTTCAAAAAAGGGGGTGTCCTCTTGAACTTTGAAGTGCAAATGGAAAATGATCTGCCAGCAGGAAATGGGGGAGGGGTGCCCTCCTGTAGTCTTGAGGCATACAACACACTCGGCCATCTCATACCCCTCAGATGTTTCACCTCAAGTAGGAACCACTAAATTCACGCTGAATTTCACCAGTGACAGCCAAGGAATATGTCTTCCCGCTACCCCCACAATCAGACATACACAGAAATGCTGCTAGTTTTGTTAGTGCAGCTCATCTGCTTTTTCTCAGTTTCCCGGGTTAAAAGGAACGAGGCTGAATGTGTTCACGTTGAAACATAACACAGGCTCTCCACCACGCAGCGTATTTGATGGGCTTGGCATGTCTTGTCAACACAACACAGTGTACATTTTGGGACTGGTGTGCAGATGAGGCGCGCCGCCCTGCATAACTAAGTAATTCCGCTGAAATAATAACAGAGAATAAGAATTGTGTGAGGTAGAAGTTCCTCTGAGGAAAGGTTTAAACACAGGAAGACCTGCCATAACTTGAACCGGAGTGCTGAGCGCTGTGATTTAGAAAGAGCATATGAGGCAGCAACCAAAATAAACTTCCTGTGCGTTCCTGTTGCCTCTGACATGAATGCTAATCAGAAAGTACTGGCTTCCCCCCTGGGCACACACTTCAGCTTCCATCTTGTCTCCATCTTGAGCCGAGCTGAGACGCCAGGACTGGCCTGACTGTGTAAGCAGCCCAAGCGATATGTGAACCAGCGTCGCAGCAGAGGATGCTGGGTATCAGGAGTTGCTTGCAGGACTCAGCCCTCAGTGCCATGAGCCAGAACTACTTTCAGAAAGTAGGACAAGGCAAGCCTTCATGCACCAAGTCCTGTCCCCAAAGGGTGGCCAGATGTGAAGGAGGAAAGGGCTCCTGTACCTTTACTTGCTGCAAAATATATGGGATTTGCACGGCAAGCTACACCTGCTGAAGCTACCCTCTTCTGCATGACTATTAAAGGTACAGAAGCCTCATCCTTTTTGGCATCCTGCTACCATACCCTCCATGGGACGTGGGTGGCGCTGTGGGTTAAACCACAGAGCCTAGGACTTGCCGATCAGAAGGTCGGCGGTTCGAATCCCCGCAACGGGGTGTGATCCTGTTGTTCAGTCCCTGCTCCTGCCAACCTAGCAGTTCGAAAGCACGTCAAAGTGCAAGTAGATAAATAGGTACCACTCCAGCGGGAAGGTAAATGGCATTTCCGTGTGCTGTTCTGGTTCGCCAGAAGCAGCTTAGTCATGACCCGGAAGCTGTGCGCCGGCTCCCTCGGCCAATAAAGCGAGATGAGTGCCGCCACCCCCAGAGTCGGCCACAACTGGACCTAATGGTCAGGGGTCCCTTTACCTTTACCATACCCTCCAACAGGTTGAGGCCGAAAACTGGAACGTGTGTCTTCCTGACTTGCTCTCTCATGCAAGTCACATGACTCTCATGAGACAACAGAGGCAAAAAAATTGTGTGTTTTGGGTCTCCGTGGGATGTCCCAATTTAATTGGGGCAGTTGAGGGGTATGACTAGTGCCCTATGTCCCCAAAGAGAGACAGGCCCTGATGCTTCTTGCAATAAGCTGTTTATTTAGTTCAACTATTTGTTTAGCTCGAGACATTTAGGAGGTAAGCCCCCTTTGTCAGGAGCTACACACAATACAAATCATGATAATGCTGAAAATAATACAAAAGTGCAACATTAGTAATAACACTTAAAAGCACAATACTCTCTCTCTCTCTCTCTCTGTGTGTGTGTGTGTGTGTGTGTGTGTGTGTGTGTAGTACCTAAAAAAAGACAAGTTACTGTACATGAATTTTTTTAAAGCCTCTGTTCTTTTAAATCACTTCTAATGTGCATGGTTTTGCACTTTTAAGCATTAATAAAAATGGTATACTTTTATGCTAATTTTAATATTATTATTATTGAAGCTAAATAAACAGCTTAGTGCTAACTGCGGGAGGCAGTGGAAGACAGGAGTGCCTGGTGTGCTCTGATTCATGGGGTCACGAAGAGTCGGACACGACTAAACGACTAAACAACAACAACAAACAGCTTAGTACAAGAAGCGCCAGAGCTGGTCTCCCTTCTGCTGCTTCTCCTTGTTTTACCTATATCCTAAGCACAAAGTTTCCAACTGTCTCATCCAAACCCTTAGGAGCTTCCTTTGAAAAGGCTTGAGCTGGTTTATTCTGAGCATGCCCCTCCAAATTACCATTATTTAATTTATTCTTTAAAAATGTGTAAACACTGCCCTTCATCAAAGTTCAGTTAACATTTTCAGTGAAAACGGGTGGGATGTGCAGACCCCAATCTGTCACCCTTGAGGAATTCCTTTAGTCACGCATAGGCGAACTCGGCCCTCCAGATGTTTTGGGACTACAAATCCCATGATCCTTAGCTAACAGGACCAGCAGTCAGGGATGATGGGAACTGTAGTCACAAAACATCTGGAAGGCTGAGTTTGCCTATGCCCGCTTTTAGTCTACTTGGAGACTCTTTTTTTCCTTTTCCCTGAATTATCCAGGTGCTTTTCATTAGTGTGAACTCCCAAGAGTCACCACAAAACTTCGCCGGAGCTGCAATTAGCAGGGTGTCCCAGTTGTGGCACTAAGCCCAGCTGATCTCTGCCTCTTATAATATGTCTTGGCCACCACACCAGGTGCAGGAGCCAAT